CCACTCCCCCCCCCCCCAACCTCGTTTTCCTCTACTCGAACAGCATGGAATACATCGCCACAATAGTCTGTATCCCTCAACCTCTCTTGTATCATAAAGTCTTGTATGGGCGATCCCTAAATCCCGTAGTAACATGAAACCACAGTACATGATACTTTGTATACACGTCGTGTAGCGTGTTGAAGAATGGAGGTGAGTAAAGTAAAACACCTGGGACACACATGGATGAGCTGGGTTGGATACTAAGGATGGAACAGGTGGTAGAGGCTGTTTGTTGATGTTTGTATTGTGGAACTTGTATCAGTGTGGACATGTATAGTGGAAAACATGTGTGAATAAACATGGGTAGAATGTGATGGTAGGGCAGGTGTGTAGAGTGATGGTAGGACAGGTGTGTAGAGTGATGGTAGGACAGGTGTGTAGAGTGATGGTAGGACAGGTGTGTAGAGTGATGGTAGGTGTGTAGAGTGATGGTAGGACAGGTGTGTAGAGTGATGGTAGGTGTGTAGAGTGATGGTAGGACAGGTGTGAAGAGTGATGGTAGGGCAGGTGTGTAGAGTGATGGTATGGCAGGTGTGTAGAGTGATGGTAGGACAGGTGTGTAGAGTGATGGTAGATGTGTAGAGTGATGGTAGGTGTGTAGAGTGATGGTAGCGCAGGTGTGTAGAGTGATGGTAGGTGTGTAGAGTGATGGTAGGACAGGTGTGTAGAGTGATGGTAGATGTGTAGAGTGATGGTAGGTGTGTAGAGTGATGGTAGCGCAGGTGTGTAGAGTGATGGTAGGTGTGTAGAGTGATGGTAGGACAGGTGTGTAGAGTGATGGCAGGTGTGTAGAGTGATGGTAGGACAGGTGTGTAGAGTGATGGTAGGACAGGTGTGTAGAGTGATGGTAGGTGTGTAGAGTGATGGTAGGACAGGTGTGTAGAGTGATGGTAGGACAGGTGTGTAGAGTGATGGTAGGACAGGTGTGTAGAGTAATGTATGGACAGGTGTGTAGAGTGATGGTAGGACAGGTGTGTAGAGTAATGGTAGGACAGGTGTGTAGAGTGATGGTAGGACAGGTGTGTAAAGTGATGGTAGGACAGGTGTGTAGAGTGTTGGTAGGACAGGTGTGTGTAATGATGGTAGGTGTATAGAGTGATGGTAGGGCAGGTGTGTAGAGTGATGGTAGGACAGGTGTGTAGAGTGATGGTAGGTGTGTAGAGTGATGGTAGGACAGGTGTGTAGAGTGATGGTAGGACAGGTGTGTGTAGTGATGGTAGGTGTGTAGAGTGATGGTAGGGCAGGTGTGTAGAGTGATGGTAGGACAGGTGTGTAGAGTGATGGTAGGACAGGTGTGTAGAGTGATGGTAGGTGTGTAGAGTGATAGTAGGACAGGTGTGTAGAGTGATGGTAGGGTAGGTGTGTAGAGTGATGGTAGGTGTGTAGAGTGATGGTAGGACTGGTGTGTATAGTGATGGTAGGTGTGTAGAGTGATGGTAGGACAGGTGTGTAGAGTGATGGTAGGACAGGTGTGTGTAGTGATGGTAGGTGTGTAGAGTGATGGTAGGGTAGGTGTGTAGAGTGATGGTAGGACAGGTGTGTAGAGTGATGGTAGGACAGGTGTGTGTAGTGATGGTAGGTGTGTAGAGTGATGGTAGGGTAGGTGTGTAGAGTGATGGTAGGACAGGTGTGTATAGTGATGGTAGGGCAGGTGTGTAGAGTGATGGTAGGGCAGGTGTGTAGAGATATGGTAGAACAGGTGTGTACAGTGATGGTATATAAGGAAGTAGAGTGGGATGGTAGTTTTTTTTTACACGACTGTGCTGGTATGAGGCCTTTTAGAATTACACGAAGCAAACCAATCGCATTAATTAGCTGTTTATTTAAGGCATCTCTTCAGGAGATATCAAAAATATACTTCAAAGTCTCACCCCCCCCCCCCAACTGAAAATGTAATTTTCCACCCTTCTCTCCCAGGAGAAATATATCTGAAAGAAACACTGCTCATTAGGCGCGATACATTTTTTATATGATTAGCTCAGATCGCAATTATATTTCTCATTAGCGGCTGAAAAGATGAAATTCTCCGTTTTGAAAATTCTTTAAAATAAATTCAAAATTGTTGTTTATATTCGCGACGTCAATGCGTCTGTTACGCAATCTTTCAAATTTCTCCCGACGGTTGATAGCTATTAACCAAATCTTGCATTCGCTGTTAATAATTTTATTCAGCTTAGGCATTAAATGAATTTCGCAACGGTTAAAACAGAAATAGATAAATAAAGATAAAAAAAAGCCTAAACTAGATAAAATAATAAACAACAGACGTTTATAAAATTTGATTTAAAAAAAAAAGTTGATGTTTCGTCGAGGTTTCCTTTCGCGAGTTTGTCGTCGTCATAATAGCAATCACTCAGTTCCTTGTGTTTACAATTTCCTATATGATACAACGACAATGTACGCGTCTATTTTTATAATCATCACCTATTCCCTTGTATTGATCACTTAATGACGATAAATTGGAACCCGATTATGCGATCTAGGCAATCATACAATTAGACTTGATAGGAGGCCATTGATTTATTGATCCGAGGGGTGATCGAACATTCTTGAAGGTGCTTTGTTTTTCTGCTGAAGCAAAACATCAGAAAGGCAGGCATGAGAGCCTAGACCTAACCATAACAATAACTAGCTTTACTGAACGATAGGTTGATTGATGGTAAATGCTGGAAATACTTTCAGCTGACGTCACTTCATTCTCTTACGTGATGCTGACGTCACTACATTGACCTAAAGTACAAGATGCTGACGTCACTCAATTGGCCTAAAGTACAAGATGCTGACGTCACTACATTGACCTAAAGTACAAGATGCTGACGTCACTCATTTGGCTTAAAGTACAAGATGCTGACATCAGCGATTAAAACAAAACGGTGTCATTGGTTCTACCTTTTAAAATCACGACTCCCCTAACACGTACCGTTTAAAAAAAGCACATAATGATTATAAGCATCAAAGACATAGTGGTCACTTCCACAATTTGCAGCAAAGAAACTTCAGTTCTGAGTATCTCAAGTAAAATGTACTAAAACTTAGGGACGTAGGCCGTGCTATTTAAATTGGTGGAATGTTTCTGATTTGTAGAATACGGAAGGTGCTACTATTAATCGACTGCAGTGGCCGCTCTTTATTGCAAATTTAAAACTAATGATAGAAAAGCAAAAAAAAAAAAAAGTTTCATAAATTAAAAAGGGACATAACTAGCAATATTTTAGACAAACAGTTAATAGCAATTACTCCCCTGATTTTTGTTTTAAATATACTCTACTTCACTTGCCCTATATACCGTCAGGTTTAAAAAGGGAACTTTACTTACTTTTTTTTTACTCAACCGTGAATCAAGAACAAAAAAAGTATTTTAATAACAAACTTTATTTCAGCATAATCAACAATACGAAACAAAACAAAATCATTGTTTTTAAAAGTATGTATAACATTCAACTTCTCTAAAGATAACTGAATATCAAATACTGCATGCACTTTATGTAGTCTCAAAATCTTCAGTTGAAAACAATTTCATGTTTATTCTTACACAGTTTTCATTCTGTTGTCAAATCGAAATTATCAGATTATCGTCTTGGATTTATGCGGTTTGAACGTTCGCTAATTAGCTTTTCAGCACGACTAATTAATGGCGAGGCTGTTGCCTTGATCCTAAACATGGCCACTAACCAAAACCTTAGTGGCCCGACCTTGACCTCAACCTAACCTTTACCCTAACCCTAATTATAACACTGGTACTAGCGATACTACTCTGGGAAAACCAAAAATTTAGAGAGTGAATTTTAATTCCTTTTAATAATGATTACATTCAATCAGTTATCTTTTTAAATAATGTCTGCATTTAATAGAAAAACTTCAAATTATGTCTACACTAAATTATCCAAACTCATTTCTTTACGTAATGTCTACATTTAGCAATCCAAACTAATTTCTTAAAATAATGCCTAATTTTACCCACAAAATCCAAGCGAATGTTCTGGTACATTCGAGTAACACTGGGACCGAACAAGCGCTTGTCGACCAGCTAAATATAGTTTGTATTTGTTTTTTGATTCAAAATTGTACAACATAGAATTTTTTTTTTGTATTTTGAAAAATGTAAGAAACCTACAATAAATAAACTATTATATAACTAGCTATACTCTTAAAAAGTTTAATTTATTGTTTAATTTTTCAGCTAAATAATTTTTCTTTAATTTAACTTTTTCAATAGACCCAAATACATTATATTTTGAAATGTAGGAATCCATTGACATAATAATCATAAAATCATAATATTTTAAAATGTTAAATACTAACAAGTGTTATGAAGATTAACAATTGTTATCAAACGGAAGGTATTAAAATAATAAACAACATTTTTCTTTTTAAAATGACACTCATTTTTAAATTAAAAAAAACAAAACTATTTTAACTTTTTTTTTTTATGTTTGGGAATGTAACAATTTTTTCACTAGATTACAAATAGGAAGTAAGTTTGAAATAAATATGTATTGAACACACACAGGGGTAGGTCTTTGAGTAATGGCAAGTCTTAAGGTATTTGAAACCCTAAGGGGAAAGTAGCCCTAGTTGTGGAGGTAGCCCTAGGGGTGGAGGTAGCCCTAGGGGTGGAGGCAGCCCTAGGGGGTAGGTAGACTTAGGGGGGGGCAGCTTTAGGAGGAAGGTAGCTTTAGGGGGGGGGGTGTAGTTTTAGGGAGAATGTAGCGTTAGGAAAAGGTAGCTTTAGGGGGAAAGTAGCCTTAGGGGGGGAAGTAGCCTTAGGGGGGAGGTAGCCTTAGGGGGTAAGTAGCCTTAGGGGGGGGAGGTAGCCTTAGGGGGGAGGTAGCCTTAGGGGGTAGGTAGCCTTAGGGGGGAGGTAGCCTTAGGGGGGGGAGGTAGACTTAGGAGAAGGTAGCTTTAGGGGCGGATAACTTCACTTTTACCGTTCACTTTAAGACTTGTCACCAGCCAAATGACTCTACCCAACAAGGCTATCCTGTAGCCTGCATGTGTCTTGTGGCTACCCTTGTAGCGAATGCTATATCCCGTACACGTGCTTGGTGTTTTCCCGGCATGCCTTGAACACCTCATCAGTGGTGAGACGTCTCACCTCGCCGATAAACTTGGCCGTGAACAGGGCGAAGCCAAAGTGAGACATTGACACGTACTTCTGTAATGGGAGATAATATTGAGATATCGACACGTACTTCTGTAAGGGGAGATAATTAGTGAGGCATAGACACGTATTTCTATAAGGGGAGATAAATAGACATAGACACGTATTTCTATAAGGGGAGATAAATAGACATAGACACGTATTTCTATAAGGGGAGATAAATAGTTAGACAGACACATATTTCTATAAGGGGAAATAAATAATGAGAACTTCTGTAAAGGGGATAAATAAATTAGTGAGACACGTTTTTCTGTAATGGGAGATAAAAATAGTAAGACATGAACAAATACTTCATTAACAATAGGTAATAATAGGAGTAACAATAGGAACTTGAGTAAGGGGAAATAAATGAGAATTTTCATGATGCAGAAAAGAATAATCAGAATAACTAGCTGGAAAGGTAGATAAGTCAGACACTTCTGACAGGGGAGGTAAGTAAGAACTCTGAGTAAGGAGAGACAATAGTCACCTACCCGGAACATTTCCGGCACATAGTCCGGTGCCCCGGACTCCAACAAGATCCGGTTCATGGGAAGAAACCGGACCATCTCCTTGACGTGTGACGGCACGGTCTTGTCGGCAATGACCGGCGTCAGACCAAAGTAGACTCGGGAGAAGACAGATAGCCATTGGCTGGCCTGGGTCTTACTTCCGGTGAATCCCTGGATGTGGATCATCTGTGTGCGCGGTGCATGCTGGGGAGTGGGTGAGTTAAACATTGGATAAGGTGCTATCTTAATTGTAGAAATGGTCGGCTTGGTCTAGTCGGTAAAGCTCATGGTTGTTAAACTGACAAGTCTCGAGTTCGAACCCTCGGGTAAATGAGGCTCGTTAGCTGGGGACAGCCACTCTTCTAGGTGAAACAACTTCAAAATCCACAAATGCTGCCTTGTAATTTTGTTCTTAGTTGGACAAAGGCTATGAAAGCAAATCAAATAAGAAAAGCAGGCTGAAATCGGAGTCAATGGCCTCAACGGCGCATAATCAGTTGACATATATAATTACTTATGATGGAGCGGATACCTTTCAACACTAAAATTAAGAACGAAGAAGAATTGTATAAATAATCTCATCCTCTTTCCGTTTGTGTCCAAGACACAAGGGGCAGATGAAGTAGAGTTCATTTGTTTTAATGACCTCGGCATATGAAAGAATAATGTCATTTCACGTACATATTTCTACAACTGGAAGACGGCTTGGCCTAGTGATAGAGCATTAGACTGGTAACATGAAAGTCGAGTTCGAATCTAGGTTCAAGTCAGTTGAACGTCTCTGAGTCACTTAAGCTTTGATTGGTACCTAGCTTACGTTATGGAAAGTTAAGGTCCTTGGTCATAGTGCTGAGGAAATTATCCTTTTTATACGCCGATGCCAAAAAATATGTTTACTCTACTTGATCTGCCTACTAGATCAATAAGTCTAATTAGGAATCTTCACTTTACATACCTTCTTCAATATCTGCATACATTCATCTTCCATCTCAGAACAGTGGAGGACTATGGGTAGCTTCATCTGTACAGCGAGCTCGACCTGGCTCTTGAAGGCAAAGGTCTGCTGTTCTACGGTCGATGAGAGACTGCTGTTGAGGCCACACGGTCCAACAGCGACTGTTTGGTCCTTGGACAGCACAAGCTGCAGGGTGGGCACGTGATCTTTACCGAAGGTGTGCGCATGTCTGGGGTGGCAGCCGAAGGTCAGCCAGATGCCCTCCTTGTTGATGACGTCTTTAAGTAGGTCATTCGGGTCTAGAGATAACGTTTTGGTGAGACTTTTACAGTTTTAATTTACTCGCTACCATGTAAATGTTCATTTAAATGATACAAAATTATTAAGGAATTTCGTCTGCATTGGTCTAAATATGTCCATTAAGTTTGTGCCCCTAAAATTCCGTCCATGAATCGCGATTAAACCTATTTTAAATGAGAAAATTATTTTACAGACTGTAAAACATGAACACCAGTCACCATTTAATTAAATAAATGAACTGAGTCGAACTGTGTTTATAGTTGGTTACTTCCCCTTTGCTCAGCTTTAACATTACATAATTAATATAGCATAGTATTAAAGGATATTGTTGTTACATTTATTTAGACGAAAAATATTTACTTTTACTAAATGTTTAGTTTTACGTTTATAGAAATGCATTCAACGACAAGGAAATTTTTACACAAAAAAAAAAAAAAGAGGTACTGCATAAGGCGGATACCTCCCACCCCCTCCACTCACCCACTCATTACACATTTACTTATTACATGGTAACATCGAAAGCACGAATCGAACACCAGACATTGGGTTAGTGATCCTGTGCTCTACCACCAGACTCATGCGAAGTAATTATCTAAAAACTTGACTTACATTTGGGGTCATATGATTTGGGGTCGGAGAATGCCAAAAATACTTTAAAACCTTGACTTACATTTGGGGTCATATGACTTGGGGTCAGAGAAGACAGCAATGAACCCAGCATAGTTGATGGGCAGGGACTGTTGTTCCGTGTTGAAGGTGGGGTTGTTGTTGAGGGCGTCGTTGAAGTCCACCACGTCGCAGTAGGTGTCGATGAAGCTGTTCTTGTAGTTGAAGCTTCTCTTGACGTAGTCCTTCCCCCAGTGTGGAACGTTCTCGATGTTGTAGATCTCCGTGTTGATGTTCAGCTGGTTGGTGGTGTCGCTGGAGGTGGAGCAGATGCTCTTTTGGTCGAACGGAAGTGGCGGGTCTTTTGACGTCTGCTCGTTGGAATCCATGCGCAGCCATTCTTTGACTTTCTGGCGTCTGGCCTTGGTGTCGCTGTCTTCGGGGCTGATGTTTGCCGGAACTGGAGCAGGAACTGGAGCCGTAACTGGAGCCGTAACTGGAGCCGTAACTGGAGCCGTAACTGGAGCCGTAACTGGAGCCGTAACTGGAGCCGTAACTGTAGCCGGAACTGGAGCCGTAACTGGAGCCGGAACTGGAGCCGGAACTGGAGCCGGAACTGGAGCCGTAACTGGAGCCGGAACTGCCGGCTTTTTAATTTGTAAGCTTGTTTTTGATTGGTTGGTTAAGTCATGTGATGAAAGCTTACGTTTTAGATTGGTGCTTGGTTTTTCAATAACAATCGGCGGCACTGTAGGGGGATCGGTTTGTTCTGGAACTACCGCAATGGGAGTTTCGAGATTTTCTTTGTTCTGCTCGTTACTTTTGTCAATGACGTCATGAGATATAGACACTTGTTCCACGTGAGGGTCAAGGTTCATCATATCTTCCCCGTCATTGGCTACGTACACGGTGTAGACTTGGTGATGTTCAAAAGGGTTGGCAGCCGGGTTGGCGGGGACCTCCTGGTTGGCTATGGCTGCTGCTGTGCTGAGTTGAAGCAGGAGGCTGGCGTCCATGGAGAGGAAACTCTCGTCCATTGTGACGTCCTCCACGTCAACTTCCTCGTCGCTCATGTGGTCAGTGCAGGCCTGTATGTCCATCTCGGTCTAGCCCTGGGTTAGACACATCAAATATTTACATTAAGTTTATGAGAAGATAAGACAATGCATATTTACTACAAAGATAATATAAGTCATAACGCAGAAGGTCTAAGAGAAAGAAAATGGAAGAAAAAAAATTATCAAAATATTAATTTAAATCTGGTTGAGTGTGAAACAGCCATTGTACAAATCCTATCCCTCATCCGACATCAAATCTTTCCCAAGAACCGTAAAACAACGTCAGTATATATAGCTGAATAAGACATGATGCATTCCTGCCGGTAATGTTATGGAAACCAATAAAACAAGAGGTTTCATTAAGAACTATGGTTCATTTGGGTAGTTTACACTAATACGGTTTAACGTCTTTAGCGCAATTTCCTTACAGGAATTGCGATTATTAACTCGTCATTTCTGGATGGATGGATGGATGTGCGCAGCTTTAAGTCGTATCTCCTCCTCAACGAAGCAATATCGAGGACTAGTTCCAAAGCAAATATGTTAAGCATGTTCCGAGGATGATTGTGGGCCAAAAAAATTCCCGGAATTCCTTCCTGGATTTCCCGGAAAAGCCAAAAAAAACCTCGAAAAAATGCAGTTTTTGACCCATATCTCGGCAACCAGACCACTTAGCGACTTGAAACATTTACCAATCGATTCCTGACATAATTTAAAACAATATTGCCGAAGAAAGTTTTCAAAAATATCATTTCGTTCGGTCACGAAAAATGTTAACATTTTAAACTGAGCATCGTGTAGGCCTAGGATGATATATACTTTTTAAACTGAGCATCGTGTAGGCCTACTCGTTAAAATAAACCTATTTCCGTTGATATAGGTTAATATAGTTGTCTTTTTTTTTTAGCGCAAAATTAACTTGTTTACTTATTAATTCAAACCTTATTTTTGTACCCTATTAATTTATTTATAATTTATATGAGAGTGATAGGGAGTTACAATTACAAGGTTTTGTTTCGCTAGGCCTAATCATTTTTTCACATTTTTAAAAAACAAACTTGATCACTATCTATTTTTAGATAACATAAGGAAATTGCGCTTAAATTGTCACTAAACTTTTTATTAACTTGTTTATTGATGAACATGGTTTTTTAAAAAGTTAACGCTCACCGATTTTTATCGATTTTTATTTTACGAAGGCAGGTACAACATTAATATTAATGCTAAATTTTTTTTAATAGAAATGTTAATTTTAAATGTAGGGGTTAATGAGGTGACTGACTAAAGAAGGGGAGATGTTTGGTAGAGCTGAAGAGAGCAGGGCTAAGGGTGGAGGGTGGAGGGTGGGGGAGGGTAGATGTCTGGGGTTGGAAGCAGGTAAATGATAAGGGGTGGGAGGGTAACTGTCTGGGGTGGGGATGGGTAGTTGTAAGGAGGTGGGTGAAGGTAGGTGTTAAAATATTAAAGATTTGATGGTCGATAATAGACGCTTACAAAAATAGGTATGTTAGGTTGTTGGTAGAAATTTAACTAGTTTTATGGTTAGAAATTAAGGTTAAGCGTATGGTAGGACTATGCTTGGGGTTAGTAATAGGGTTAGCATTGACATTAGCAAGCCATATTTGTATTTAGTTAGCTACACGTAACCTAATACCCCTATTTTTAGGAAGATTCTATTATTCTATTATCGGTAACTGGTATAAAAAGCGGCGGGCTAAAGTAAATGACACAAATAAATTCCTACCATTTGCATGTGTGCTAGCATTGACATATAACACATTAATATGTGATTACACCTATTAGACAACCACCCATACATGAATCAATTACATCATATAGCTTGTTGTTGTGTTACATACATACCTTGGTCCATGTGTTTGTATACGTTTATAACACCATAAACTTTATGTCTAACATGAAATTCGCTTCATCAACCTCGTGTCTAGGTTAGTCGGCCATTCACGGTTTATGAACACATGAGCTACACAAATGTGTTGGGGGGGGGGGGGGGGGGGGCGACGGGCGACAGGCATGAGTACACGGCGTGTAAAACTCACAAAGAAAAAGTTGATTTTTGTAAAGTCTTAGACCCAATAGTGAACTTGTGATAAGCGGTAAGGGAGATCATTCTGATTTTCATGTGCCTGGATGTGAAATGTGAAAGTTAACCTCAATTTTTTTTTTTTACCGTGAATTTTGTTTCTATTGAGCCGGGTTCAAAGAAAGTTTGTTTACATCACGTGAGCCCAATCTACAACCGCGATGTATGAATGGGTGTTTTGACGTTCAATTAACATCGTTATTTTATTATCATGAATTAGAAGAAAAAAACCCACTAACTAAAGTCGTTTAATGCTATAAACCTTAACTTTGTAGAACATTGTTAAATGTGGAAAATAAATTCTAACTCAAGTTGTTAAATGCTGCTAGCCTTTACATCTGTAGTAACATTGTTAGTTTTTTAAACATAAATTTGGAAAAAATAAATTCTAACCCAAGTATTTAAATGCTACTAATTAACTTTCGTAGAATATGGTTAATTTTTTTAACATAAATTTGGAAAAAATTATAACCTAAGTAATTATATTCTATTAATTAACCTTCGTAGAATATCGTTAATAATTTAACATTTGGAAAAAAATAAATTTTAACCCAAGTAGTCAAATGCTACTAATTAACCTTGGTAGAATATAGTTAATTTTTTAGCATAAATTTGGAAAAAAAAATTCTAACCCAAGTAGTTAAATGATACTAACTTTAACCTTAGTAGAACAGCGTCAATTAAAAAAAAACAGAAAAGAAAAACCTAACCCAAATAGTTAAGTGCTACTAACCTTAACCTCTGTAGAACACGAAATACTGAGTAGAATCACTACAGACAGTGGTAAATTAATTCTACATCTACGGCAGTATGATTCAAATTTAGATCCTTAGGGAATGGTCAAATCTAATACATTTGTAACGATGATTTTGATTGGGTAATAAATTTACAGGGCAATTTGAAAAAAAAAAATTATAAAAGAGTCAATATGGTTTTGGTGACGTAGAGTCTCGATCTAGCAACTGTGAGTGGCTCAAGGTTGCAATGAAAGAGGTTAATGAGTTCGTCTAGTCGCTGCTTCCCATACACCCCACCCCCATTGTTATGACGCCGAGGGGGACCAGGTGTTGCGTCGATGACGCGTCTACTGGCGTCAGGTCACCTACTGGTGAATAGCGCAATCAAAACTTGGTGGTCGCCGTCACGGTTGAATGATAATCCCCTGAGCTTTCATCAAACGGGCTATGTTTTATCAGCCGACGGAAACATAGGGTGCTTTATCGTCCATGTAAATAACGACACTTATTAGTGTCTACATAGTGTATTCGACATTATTTGCACTGTATCACTTCCTTAATTCCGTCCCTAATCCTAACCCCCACCCTAATCTTAACTCTGACCTTAATCCTCACTCTGTCCCTAATCCTAAATCAGTCCCCAATCCTAGTTCCGACCCTAATCCTAACTCCGACCCAAATCCTAACGCCGACCCTAATCCTAAATTTATCACTAATCTTAATTATGTCCCTAATCCTATTCCTGACCCTAATCCTATCTCTGACCCTAATCCTATCTCTGACCCTAATCCTATCTCTGACCCTAATCCTATCTCTGACCCTAATCCTATCTGACCCTAATCCTTTCTCTGACCCTAATCCTAACTCTGACCCTAATCCTATCTCTGACCCTAATCCTATCTCTGACCCTAATCCTATCTCTGACCCTAATCCTATCTCTGACCCTAATCCTATCTCTGACCCTAATCCTATCTCTGACCCTAATCCTAACTCTAACCCTAATCCGGACCCTAATCCCAACCCCGACCCCAATCTTTACTATTTTCAAACAAAACAAGCCTTGATGAGAGATAGTCATCACACGGGTGTTCTTACATAACCAATATATTTAATTACTACTGAAACTGAAATACATGCTTTCAACATTCACGTGACACCGTTGTGTGTATTACTGTACACGCAAAGGAACCTAAACAAATATATTTGTTTCCTGTTGTTAAAAATATTTTCGTTAGTGATTTAGGCAACCGAGGGGAAACAACTCTATCGTCAAATAAACATGGCGGTATTAAATAATGGGACTTTGATGTGTTGACACCTACCCGAATGAATGGGTACAAATAATTGCTTGGTTCGCGTCTTAAAGATGCCGGAAGACTGACAAATGTTGGATGAACGACGGATGTTGTTTGACTGTCGTGTGTTGTTGGATGAGGTACTGGGTGAATGGACTGTACAATTATTGACACGTTAAATCAATATTCGATTTTCGTAGAATAGGGTTTGGGGAAAGGGGTGGGTGTAGGTGACGGCTAAAGGTGTGGTGGGGGACAGGTAGATATGGAGGATCTAGGCGTTGTTGGGGAGGTGAGGGTTAGGTAGGGGTCAAGAGCCAGAGTGGGGTAGAAAAATGGGTTATGGGTTGGGAATGGACTGGGGTGGGGGGGATAGTAACAATGTGAATAGATGAACTTAGAAATAGATGCAGTGATATGACTGACATAGGCCCCATATTTTAACTGATTGTAATTTTTTTTAAAAATGAAGACTTCACAAATGTATAAAAAAAAAATAACTACTGTCTATTTTATTAACTGGAATCCCCAGGGGAAGAGGAAAGTGGGCCGGTCAATGAAATCCTGGAGAAGAACAGTAGAAGATGAGCCAACGACTGCTTGACTTACATGGGCGCTTATAAAGAGAGCTGCCCTAATCAAGAGTCCGTGGAGTGGAGTGGTCGCAGCTTATTATAAATACTAGTTATTGAGTAAACTAACTGTTTATTGACAGTGTCTTAAATAATTTCTACATAATATTTTGATCTTGATATATCCCAAAAGACAAGGGGAACAAAAGCCGTTTTTGATCTTTTGTAGTAACTTGTCTACCATATAACCGATTAACCTTTACACTTGCAATAGACACAATCCCTTACCGGCAGTAATACTAAACTTCACCAATTAACGTAAAGCTTAATTACCCTCACTTTGACCCTCTACAAAGGAATATTCTTTTTTTCATTAGCTCTAGCATCATATTAATGGCGTGCTAGTACTCACTATCAGAAAACAAATAAACTTATCACCAACTCAATTTTAATTTTAGCTCACAATAACATCACGATGAAAAATTGTCACTACCTATTGTTTCAAGGGAGAAAATTAGAATATCCTTCAGTGGGCTGTATTTTACACGATTATTTCCCTTGACCAACAAACCCGGAATTTCATGATAAAGATAATGATTTTGCACAGGGAAATGTGCGCCTAGCCTAAATTGTGTTTTGTTGATTACCCCCCCCCCCCCCCCTACTCTACTGCTTATATATATCCGTTATAGGAATTTTGTTTTTCTCCTATGAGGTACTTTGAAACCTGTTTTTGTGCAATAAGGAAACAAAAAAAAAATAATATATGAGCTGCTTGTGTAGAAATAAAATCAGTACTATTTATGAGTTAAGTAACTCATAAACTGTGTGTATTGTTTTTACTGTAGTGACAACAACTTTATGCCGGGGTTTGTTTGAAATGTATTTGTGTACAAAGGGGAGGGGAAAATTCCTATTTCTTATTTGGTTGTCTCCCTTCCTCAATTTTATGACGCGCATTGTTTAATCTTGTTGTCAGGGGCGTAGCGAGGGTGGGGGGGGGGGGGGCGGAGGTGCGGACAGCACCGGGTGACATCATTTAGGGGGTTGACACCAAGGCAAAAAATAGCAAAATATATAGAGACAAACTTGAAGGGGGGGGGTGCAAATCGAAAGTTTGAGGGGGGAGGGGGGGGGGGTGGGGGGCAAATCGAAAACTTGAAAGTTTGTCCCCGGGAAGGGTCGCAACGCCTCTGTGGGTGGGGGGGGGGGGGGGGGAGGGTGACACCATTAAGTGCCGCACCGGGTGACACCCGACCTCGCTACTGCTTGTTGTACTATAGTGTAACAAATGAACACACTATAAACTGTTTATTCTTTGTTTTTTTGTTTTCCGTTTATTTCTGTGCACACATCTAAGGACTAACATATGGGGCCGACCCCATTATTCCATTTTTAAACGTTTTTTCTTTCTTTTTTATATTTATATTTAATAGTAAAGTTCCCGTTATGAAGTAGAGTTCACTTGTTTCTGTGACATCAGCATATGAAGAGATACTGTGGTCAGCTTTATGCCCATCCGACTTTACTTTACATAGCGTAAGTTAGGTACCCATTAGAGCTGTCTAGATTCAGGGAAATTCTACTGACTTGAACCCGGATTCAAACTCCATTACATATTTTTTACTCCACCTTTATCCCTTCTACACGTTATGAAGTAGAGTTCACTTGTTTCTGTGACAATAGCATATGAAGAGTTAGTGTGGTCAGCTTTACGCCCATCCGACTTTACTTTCCTTAGCGTAAGTAACCCGGATTCAAACTCCATTACATATTTTTTTACCCCACCATTATCCCTTCCACACGTCGTCAATGTTTATCTCCCTTGTTCTAAAATTAATGATCGTGTTTCGGATTTATTTCCCCTTGTTCCGAGTTTATTCCTTTCGTGTTAGGTTATTCCCCTTCTCCGAACCATGCTTATGTCTACACCCCACTCCTAATTTGTCTTCCCTGTTTACCCCCCCCCCCCCCCCCTCCTACATCTTTCTGTAGTCCCATGCAGCCACTGAAGCGTCGCCCCTGAGGTCTGATTAAACGTGAGTGCACCGCCCTCGACCGTTTCACATTTTGTTTTCTATCTCTCCACGCTGAACTCCCTTTGACGGATAGCGCCTGACACGATTGGCCAACAAAAATAGACTTATCGGAAAAACCCGTTACGAGAGGAAGTAACGTCATTGTTTAAATCTTCATCAAGCCGGTG